AGGCACTGCAACGGATGAATCTTTCCCCCGCCTGATGCTGCCAAATTCTATGATTTACGGCGAAGGACGTGCTCTTGTAAGCTTTTGTTGTTATCGTCTATCTGCGGTTTATGGGTATGCAGTACCTACTTTTGAATTCATTGCTTTATTTGCGTCATCATCACTGGGTATGGGACTGTAGACACCTACCTTTAGTTTAAGGCTTGAACAAACATGACTATAAGCATAGAAAAGCGCGTTTGATATTGGAATAATGCCTTTTGTTCTTTGTATATAAATGATTCTCCGCGATCATAATGCTTGGCTAGGTTAAGGCCAGTAATAAATCCCAAGGTCAACATCCCTCTTCAGTTTAGGATCCACGCGCAGATATCCAAGCTTTTTCAAATCGTCAAATTTCTGGGTAACCAGCTCGGCCACAATCCCCCCCAAACAGAGCACTCCCTTGCACGTTCAAATGGGTATTGTCCGCTGGGTTGAGGTTGTATGTAAAAGCGTTTTCTGGCCCGATTGCATTGAGGTATCGGGTGCTAGCTTCATTCAGGTCAATATACGCAGTATTTGAGCGATGGGCAGCAGTGATGGTGGCCATAGTCTCATTGGCGAGACTCATGACGATACGCGGTGTCCCTGTTGAGTTATCGTAGTTGCGCCGAGATAGAGGAGTGACGAGAATCGGTGTAGCTCCAGCATCAGTAGCCTCAGTCACGAATCTTTCAAGATTGCTGGTGTATTGTGACAATGAAATGTTCGCAGCTGGCTTTTGGTCGTTGTGCCCGAATTGGATTGTCACAAATGGATGATAGTTGTCTCGAATTTGTCTCACAGTCGTTAAAACATCATCCCAATCACCCCCATCTCGAAAGCTAACAGTAGTTGCACCGTTGTGGCCGAAGTTGCGACCAGAGGCTCCTTTAAAAAGAGTTGTGTTGAGAAACCCGTCTCCCCATCCTCCACCGTTCGAGGATTGAGTAGCTGTAGTGCTGTCGCCCGCCAGAACAAAGAATGGAGACTTTTGCAAGTGTTTGAAGGTACTGGAAGGATACGCCTGAACATAAGATATGATACTGAGGAGAGCTACTCCGGTTGTTTTTAAGCTTATGCTCATTGTTGTGTCCCTGGATGTAATCCTGTTAAGTTATGGAGAATCAGAATCATTTGCACCAAAGACATCTTTGATATGAACATATAGCACTCCGACGTGGGGGGAATAGAGTCATTTCTCCCGTTGGTGGAAATCTGTTGACGCAGAAAAGTAATTTGCGGGGTTTTGATGAATCAAGTGACGACATTCCAACAGATTCTCGCGGTCAAATGTCCCGAAGGTAGTATGGCCAAGGAACAACATCTTCGAGGAATTCTCCGTTGGCTTTCTTCCCAACCCGAGGTCCGTTGTCGGATCTTCTTTTCAGTTTCCCCTCCCCGTTGTGTTGCCTTTTACGGTCATTGAGTACGATTTGGCATTTTGAGCAAAGACTGCTAGGCAAATTCCGCAAAATGAATATGCATCTGCATTTCAATTCATAAATCCTCCTTCTTTCTTAGAATACCTCCATTCTACCAGCCCCGCGTTAGCTCAAAGCTGCAGTGTTTCGGACACAAGCTCCGCCACTTTCACCAATTCCTCGTCATGCATGTTCCTACCAACGAGCTGCACACAGCACGGAGCCCCCTCGATATCATCAGCCACATCTCATATTCCAAATCAGCATTAGGTTCACCAATCATAATAGGTGATGGGTGGAAAATATAACACTTACAGGGGGGTTTGTAGTTCACACTCCGAATGAATGCCTTGTCGGCGCTCTTGTCCGCCTTCCCATGCGGAATGATGCAGCTCGGGTACTGAGAAAGAAAATTAGTTCAGCCCCGTAGGACTAGAGAACGTGAACTTACATCCATTACATTCCAAAGGACGGTGTAGGGCACAAAGCCAAACAGATCATGGGGTTGGGCGGTACCTTGATAGCCGGGCATGATAATAGCGTCGACTTTTTCCTGCATAATGAGATTGCGGAACTCTTCCTTGATGTAATTGCGCTCCTCGTTGAGGCCATACAATCCTTCAAGTGTCAATGGTGCATACCCATATGGCATGTAGCTATGGTGCAGCGATGTCGATGCCAAAGCAGGAATGGTGGGTTCCCCACTGGCAGCAATGTGCTTAAATGGAGTCTGAGCTGGGTCCATCGAGTACATGCGAAATGCCAGTGTACAGGCATCTCGAATAAGCAGGGTTTTCAGGGGAATGATCTTATTTCCAGCTTCTTGGAGCTTTTCAGTTACTTTTGCAAGAGTTCGCAAAACCGGTGGATGCAGAGGGAAATGGGGATCCTCCTCGATGAACCCGAGTCGCAGGGCGGACTTGGAGGAAACGATGCGCCATGGCGAGAACAAAGCCGAAGAGTCAAGTTGCCATGGGTCTGCATTAGTCACTAGTCTCATAAACAGCTCCAAATCTCTGACTGATGTTGCCAAGGGTCCTGCACAAGCTTTGATCCCAGCCAAGCCTCCACGAGCAGAGCTAGTCTGTCCCCCATATGGAATGCGGTCCGCGGAAGGTTTCAATGAATAGATCCCATTGCAGATAGCCGGGATTCGAATGGAGCCAGCGATGTCTGTACCAACACCCAACACCGATCCTCTCATAGCAATCAATGCCCCTTCTCCTCCAGTCGACCCTCCAGCGGTAAGATTCGATCGATGAGGATTGAGGGTCCGACCGAATACGAAATTGTGCGAATCGGCGGCCTAATATTTTGAGCAATTGTGACAGGTTTAGGATCGTAGGAGCACTCACCATCATTGTCTGGGGAACATTCGTCTTCACATACGGGATGGCTCCCAGGTTGAGCAGAATCTGAACTGCGGGAGAAGTCGAATCCACGGGGCCATTTTTGATAAACGAAGTAAATCCAATCGTTGACGGGATACCATCAATGTTGAAGCAATCCTTTATATGACATCAGTAAACCGTAAACCCAAATTCGTTGTCCACAGTTGTCGACACACCTTAAAACTGATGGGCAACCCATGCAAAGGCCCTACAGGTGTCCCTGTTTTAGATAATATCTCATCCAAATCCTTTGCGCGCTCCAAGGCACGGTCAAAGAAAGTCTCTGTGAGGCATCGAGTCTGTGGGCTCACTGTAAGAGGATGGTCAAACCTTTGAAGGATATGTCAATCATATTAACACATACCACTTGCTGTGCAATCGCAGCGCGAATGCAAAATGCTTCAGTGACCTCATAGGCAGAGAGCTCTTGACAATGGATCTTGGCGAGCAGATCAGTTGCATCATATTTCTCGGTTATCTCGAGTTGTCTTGCCGACAAGATTCCCGACTGGCGTGGAACATCTAGTACATTCATGCCAGATGTCTCGGATATTTGGGTCAGTTGTTCCGGAATTCGCCATTCAGTTGGGATTTTAGCAGCATCCTCAAGTTGCTTCCTGTGCACAAGGACTTCCCATGGTTCGGTCTCCATTGTTGAGTGTGTGGTATTGTATGTTGAGAAAAGATGAAAGAGAACAAAGAATAGAGAAAGTCGGAGATGGGGAGAAAAGAGAAGGAAAGTGAAAGTGAAAGCGAAGTCGGAAGATATTTATATCCAAGGCGAAAACGCAGAAGCCAGCGCATCAAACATGTGGGGATACAAGAGAGTCAAGTAAATTACTCGAATAAGGTTCACACTGGGAATTTGATATCTAACTATTTCTCTGTTCCCCCTAGACTCCTTTTCTTGTTGAGCTCATATTACTCGTCGTGCGGAGCATTACCACCCCTTCTATTATAGGATCTACAACCTAGCAAGCTCAATGTAGACCCAAAGTGATATAGCTAATTTGACCTCGGTAGAAATCTCTGGATCATACAGTAGGGCACTCAAAAGTTTCTTCTGAGTCTATCGCATGGCTATCCGAGCCACGTATGGGCCGGCAAGCCTCGGGAAAGCTACATGTCGACACTTATGTTAAGGATCCTGGTAAAAGGCATGCCTATCAAGGCTTATCATCAGTCTCGTGTCAAACGCCACCTCCTCAAGCACGCCTTTCCATTATCATTAGTTCCATATTTTCATTAATAAAGCTTACCAGCTGAAATAAAAATCTTCGCTACAATCAAAAGTCGTTTCCAGGAGAACGAGATCGTACGTGCCGTCAGGTACTGTCGCCCTGGTTTTTGCAACGCTTCAGCCCGGTCCACCTTGCTGCCCGAGTGCTATCAATACATTCATGAGCTCCCAAATCCCATGAATACTTCTTCTGGGAATTTCGGGACAGAACGAAAAGCAAGTACCTGAGTTTGGGTTAGTTATAACCATTCACTTCAACGTTGGAAGTCGATTTGATGCAGCATCCTGGCCTCCATTCCATGCCCCACCGATGTGACCTGAGCCTAGCCTTGCACTACGAGACAGAAGATCCGACTGCGACTGTGACAACTTCTCCAACAATCCCCACGGCCAGCCACAACTGGACTAGCAGACGTTAGTCCGGTACGCTATACTGGGACGATGGTGAGAAAGACATACAAGGATCGGCCTATACCGTACACCCTGGTAATGTGATCCAAGAAGAAAACGCCATATTCCTCGAGTTTTAAAAATTTCGCACCTGAATCGGGTAGAGTGGACAGTGTGTCTTCGCTTAGACGAGGCCCTCTGGCCTCTTTGTACATGACACACTTGTGGGAATTTGGATGGCCCGTTTGCAGGTTTCAAATTCATATTTGTAGAACAACTCGGTGTGATACAGTCGTAAAAGTTATATAATGAAGTTCTATTGCACACCAGCAATGTCCCTCCTGATATTTTCTTTTGCATCTCTTGTCTGCCATCGTTTTCACGGTGATGATTCCAGTCAGCAGATAACGGATATATCCAGGGTTATACTGAAGAACTGATGAGACGCATATTTTCTCTCCTTTGCCTTCGGACAATGTTTACAATTCCAAGCTTTGGCTAAGTAGTATGTCCGTCGGAAATAACTTGGAACTCTCAAGGGTCCGACGAGTCAAATGCGGCCAACTCGGCCCACTGATGCTCCAGCTCCCGCATTATCCAGGAAGTGCGCCATCCTAGCACTTTTTCCACTCGACTCAAAAATTGCAATGATCCTTCCTGTTCGACTACATTCCGAAGACAGTACCCAACTAAGGACAGGTTAGCAGGCAAGAGGATCGAGGGATATGGAGCGCACACGAACAGCGATGTAATAAATGTGATGCCATGAAATAGGCATTCTCTACGTTTTCGTTGGACAGTGATAGACCAATAACCATGACAAGATGGTCAGCAATCGTTTTCTAGGATCAGTATTAGCCTGCAAATATAGTTTCCCAGAGCTTTGGTTTGACTACCTCCTGCACACGCCTTGTGCGGGCCCTTTCGTAATCGCTCATATTGTGCGATGGAAATTCAGACAAGGTGAGGAAAATACATGCCGAGTGATAATACTGCATTCCGACCACTTCGGTTGCGGTTAGTAACTTTAGGTCGCATTTTCATTACTCTGAAAACATACCTGCCGGCGGCGATATCATCCATATCACAGGGAAAGGCCGGCCATCAGCCACGCTTGATTCTTGGTATCGAATAGGTTGCCAGGTTGTGGACTTTGCTTGATTCCACTCGTTCACGCTGTCCGATATTTGGCGCCAGGTATCCCGTGCCACAATATGTCCAGGGGCATCGCAGCATACTTGTAGGATGCGAGCACAATGATAAATGATTCTATTAGCGCAAGCAGCGTCATCATGGCGGTGAAACATTGACGAGCGCTCGTAATTCTGCATATCGAGTTGTAAAGGTTGATACTGTACTACCGATGCATAGATAGCTTGTCGTAAAAACTGCCAGCTGATTGCCTCTGCCACTCCGCCAGAGGATGCCGAGCGGGTCATGAGATTCACCAAACGATTGGACCCAAGCAGATGAAACTGTTGGTCAGTGTTAGTTTCCAGCTCCTCATATATACGAAGAATCACGACCGCAATGAGCATGTCCTCGTCACAATTTGTCTCGGCTTCATCCAATGCTGCGATTAATAATTTCAAACATTGACCGTGATAAGCTGAGGCCTCCCAGTCACTATCGTTGGCCAAAATCGCATCATGTCGCGCAGACAAAGCCAGGATGGCTTGCAAGACCATGTTATTCTCCAATGCCCGTCTTGGGACTTCGGTGCTGAAATGTGAATGGATGTCACAAATATCCGCCTATGAAGGTTAGATATGTAACGCTAAGAAGAGACTCGCTTGTAGCTCACCCAGGGGGCTAATTTCTGGATAAAGTGGCGCATCAGCGATGCCTCCCTTAATGTCAGGGTGGATCCATTGTCTGACAGCAGACTGAGTGGACTGTTTGTAGTATCCCGGTGGAGTCGATTCTCATAAACTGGGCTGCGAGCTTGAGCCTGATATGTGGTCGCCGGGTGAAAATCTTGAGTCCATCCACTGCGACTATGTGATATCGGCTCTGGTGCTGGAGTATATTGTTCCAGAGTACCATGCTCATCCCCAACTGATTCTGGTTCTGGCGTGTTGTATTGTTCTACGGCGCTATGTTCGTCCCCAGCCGATCCATCATTTGCCTCAAGGACGAATGTCACTAGATAAGATTAGTGCATGACCGAAATCATAGGCTCTGAACTCCTACCGGGTTGTGACACGTCCACCCAAACTTGTTCTTTATCCCAATCCAGTTCGAATCGAGCAGTGGCACCATTATTTTTCTGGTAAACGTGGTGGACAGGCTTGAACTGGAAGCGTGGATCAAGATGGCACGCCCGACCAAGTCGCAAACATGGAGTGCAAGTTGATGCACCAGCGGGAATCACGCATCGGATATGTCGATGACGACACCTTCCACAGCCCTTGCCTACTCTCATAGAGATATCAGCTCAAGGTGGCTGTTATCGAGGTTCATCTATGTAGAACCTCCCAACATGATGCTGGGGAAGGGTTCCCCGCATATGCTGAGTCATCTTTTGGGGAAGCTCCAAGAAAGTTTTCGACTTCCATGGTTTGCCACTCCCCGGTACTAACCTTAACCTTGGGAAGGACCTTGGGCATAGAATCGAGTCTTCAAGGATTTTTTTGATATGACAATGTTCCTCTCTCTTGATACCTCCGGAGTTCCAGTGATGTCAGTCCATGCGGGCATTTTGAACCAGACCGGGCCGCCAAGGGCCAAGGGCCGCCAATTCTGTTGCCTACTTTGTACTCCGACACTACCACTCCATGCGGAATAGCAGAACAAGGGTTGCAGTACATACTCCATCCACAAAAATAGCAACACCGCTCTGTGGTATTCAGCGACGATTTATCCAGGCAGATGGGAATGATTTTTTGCAGGCTGAACTCGCGCATCTGGTCTCCCGATCCGTGTCTTGGAACGGAAATTGCATAGGCAGAGCGATCCGCCGGTGGGCTATGGGTTTCGGATATGGATCGCCAACCAAAAAATCCAAAGTTGGCCAATCAACAATGAACAGACCCCGACGATCGGCAGTCTTGATGCTCAATTGATATGCAAAGTGCAATTGGCCAAGGCCGGAAATTTTCGACTCCGCCTCCTTCCATGTTATTGACCTTAAAACTGCGAATGCCCGGTCCCTTCGCGCAAAACCATTGAAGGTTTGTCGTGTCAAATAAGTAACTGGGGATTCGCAGATCTCCCCGTACGGATGATTGTAATCTACCTTCTGCTGATTGCCAATGCATGGCAAGGAGCGGTCGCTGATTCTGATGCTTGTAAGTAATGTATTGCTTGTTTGTCTTGCCAACTGTGTAGCTCATTCCCTATAGGTTCAAGCAGCGTGACCATCTCAAGTCAAAGCGATGCGGACAAGCTGAGCAGCTGCGACACATTTGACGGAAGCATTACGATATCCCCTTCTACCAGCGGAGTAATCACCATCAACAATGTCGAGGAAATTAAGGGCGCATTAATTGCTGAGGGTGCCTCAGAGCTCACAGGTCTTCTAGCCCCTGATTTGGACAGTGTGAAGGGAGGTATCACACTGAGTAACCTCAACTCACTCACTACCATAACCATGGGCGCGCTATCACAAGTTTCTTCGGGCCTAATCATCACGGGGAATCCGAACCTGAAAACACTGGGATTCCAAGATTTAGAAAAGGTTGAAGGGCAGTTGGATTTGGCGGGATCTTTCGACAGGTATGATCATTGCAACAGTCATCAACTCCTCGCCGTCTAAGATACTGATGAATATGCCAGCGTATCGCTACCTTCTCTCGAACAAGTCAAAGGTCGGACAACAATCATAGGCAGCAGTTCCATGTTATGCAGTGTGTTGGACAAATTGAAATCCAACAGTGTCTTCAGAAACGGCTACACTTGCTCTAGTGGCTCGTCTGGTCTAAGTCCAGGAGCCAAGGGCGGAATTGCAGTGGGTGTCATTGTGACTGTCCTGCTCATTGTGTTGCTCCTATGGTTTGTGCTTCGGCGGCGGCGCCAGAGAAAGAGAACTAGAGGCGTCCAATCAACTATTCCACCTTCATCAACCGTATCAACTGTCGTGGGACCTGATGAAAAGGCCCTCATTTCTCAAGGAAGTATCTCACCTCAAGAAGAACCATTACGTTCAAAAGAACCGCAGACCCTCTTGCCCCGAAAGCCAGTGGGATCGGCAATATTGTTGGATGGTCGCTCAGTCTATGAGGTCCCGAATGGATCCACTCCAGTCCATGAATATCACGAGTTGGACGCAGGACCAGTCTTCAGCTCTCATCAACGGCCAATACACGCGAACTAAGATGATTCTCATGGATTGATGAGCAGAGATGATTTCGGCCATGAATCACCAGCCGTGAGATGGCACAGGCGACATAACAGGCAGCCTTTTGCAGTTATAGATATACCCTTGAGACCCTTTTGTCAAATGCAAGATGTAATAATGATTTTTCTCTTTGTTTCCGGATTTCAATGAAGGCAACTGTTTACGGCAAAGTGAATATGACCTACAATTCTGCATCTACCTGGGCTTGTGTGGTCTTTAGGATCCTCGTATTTGAACCATACCATACCACCGGCGCCCACTTCGTGACCATGTCGTCAGGAACGCAGTCTATAGGGACAGCTTGTGTTTGAACTCGGAGTCTAGTAGCACACGATAAACGTATCATATCAGAAACCAGGCATTCAACAGGCTTAGGCCAAGGCATTTATATGTCATGGGTAGTTTATCTTGGTCGGTTCATTATTGAGCATGTTATCTAGATATATCGGCACTAGTGCAAGCCTGTTGACACTCTACAAAACACACCGATATCTAAATATCATCCAACCAGCCGTCGCCCGGAGCGATCAGCGAAATCAAACACTCAGAATGACCTTGTGATCGGCAGCCTTCTCCTCGGGCTCGCCGAAAATATCAATGTTCCAACGAGGCTTGTTGGCAGTATAAGGAACGTTGTAGCGCTTCCGGTTCTGGCCCAGAGCGCTGACTTTCTCAACCTCCTCGGGTGTGAGTTCTACCTCCTTGAAGTTGTCACGAATGCGTGAAGGCGTAACCGACTTGGGGATGACACTGTGTCCGCCGACCTGAGACCAGGCGAGACTTGAAGACTGTTAGCTTTTACGGCACAATACCACAGAAGAGGCGGGGATAATCTTACATAACGTGTGCGGGGCTGACTTCCTGACCAGTGCGCTTTGCAACAGATTCAGCAACTTCCTTGACCTCGGGGCGGGTAATGAGCAGGGGAATATCGAGCATGTTGTTGCCAAATGCCTAGAGATTGGGTTAGCGCCAAGTTTCTCTGCCATCAACCAAAAAGAAAGGGGGGGCGGATAGATACGCACAGAGTAGGCAGTGATGTGAATTCCCTTCTGCTGGCAGTACTCAATCAGGTCATTGCTCTGGAGCACGGGGTGGCGCTCGATCTGGTTAGCGGCAGGGACAACACCGGTGCCTTTAATGAGAGCCTCGAGCTACAGGAGTGTATTAGCTCATGTATAGCGAGTTCTGGAGCAAGGAGGATACGAACATGCTCAATCTTGTGGTTGGAGACACCGATGGAGCGGGCCTTGCTCTTGGGGAGCTGGGTCATAGCTGAGAGGAGTTAGCTATGTCTGATTTTCCCATCCACACAAGATATCCACTTGCCCTTCCAGGTGTCCACAATAGAAACACCATCGTCAATGATCACATCACCACCCTCGACGGTGCTGTTGGCAACGAGTGGGAAGTAAGAATCGCCCTTCTGGAAGGCAACGGGCCAGTGAACAAGGTAAAGCTTGGTCTGTCAGCAATAGCCCACGACGGTCACTGGATGGAATAATCATACGTCGAGGTAATCCAACTCCAGCTCAGCAAGACAAGCATCCAAAGATGCCTCGACAACCTCCGGTCGGTGCTGGCTACATGCAGAGTCAATAACTTTATAGGGTAACGGTGTGGTTTGAGACATCGTACCTATTCCACAGCTTGGAGGTCTGTAGAATGACATGTCAGTTGCTGAAATTATGAAACATCCCAGGTATGGATTAGACTTACAATAAAGAGATCCTCGCGCTTCAGACCGGGAACATCTTTATAAGCACGCTTGATACCCTCCGCAACCTCACGCTGGTTCTGGTAGCTGTGAACAGGTGGTAAGTATATCGCAATTGTAAGGGGCGGCTTCTTGCGATTAAGGAATCGGTGCAGCATACATAGTTGCCAAATCCTGAGAGGGGGTGGGGGGTTAGCGAATAGTTTGAAGAAATGATCGATTTACATGTACATACCAGGTGGCGGTAACCAGCCTTGAGGGCCTCATAGACAGCCTCGCCGACCTGGCCAGGGGCAGACTGCCAAGTACCAAAGCCCAACTGGCTGAATGTGGGATCAGTGATGTCGTCTTTCAATATTTTCTGCAGAATATACGCACGGGATCTGGTGGCCGGAGTTGAGAGTGACTTTCTTGCCGAGAGACATGATGTTTATCAGAGATTAAAGAATAATTGGAAGGGAAAGAGGAAAGAGGAAAGAGATGGAAGATGTCCCAACTTTTAACTCTCTCTCGTCTATTCTCCGGTGGGGAGTGGGGAGCTTGTTCATCCCACGCCCCTCTCGGAGTAGACCCCGCCGAGGTACACACAGTACATACATATATGTACGGAGTAGTAGAGTACTTTTAAGAATGTCATTTAGATTCATTTATTTCTAATTCATAGCTTATGGGCGTATTCTATTGGCATATATACTATGTAACTGGCCTACTACATAATGTATATATAATACTACTTCCACCTAAGCATAGGTGACTATGTAGTTATGTATATATAAGGACCTTGGAGTCTACAACATCGAACTCCCTACCACCCCCCGGCGGGGTAATTTATGATGTCATTCTGGATGTGAAATCAATGACTGTATTCTTTTGCATACATAAAGACACATCGTTGGCCATTGAATCCCTCTACAGGGGACCGGCTTCGTCGTTGCGATCGCTCCTGGTGCCGAGAATGGGACAATATTGGAGTCCGATGTCACCATCACGGTCGTTTTGTCCTTTCTAACAGAACTTGCATCAAATCACATCAAATTCCCAGTCTTCATTGTTCTTATAGATGTCCAGAAAAGCGAGATCACCCCCAAATTAAACTGCTCTACTGACCCATAAAAACCCTCAAAAGTTCCGGATAGTTAGGGGTACCCAATCCAGTCACTGGATCCCAACCCTCGGCCGCAGAGAAGCCATCGGTATTGCAACCTGCATTCGTGCCCTTGGTCACGTCAAAGAACGCCTCCGGGTGAGTGTACAATACAGGGTTGACAAAGCCAACAGTGGGCTTGCCAACGGCGAGTCGCTCCTCGTTGATGCGAGTGAGGATTCCAGCGAAGACAGGTGCAGAGGCCGATGTCCCACCAATTGACAC